CATTGAAGCTGCTTATGTGCTCATTTTTCTAGTTTTTGCACCCAAGAAGGAGAAAGCAAAGATTTTTGGGCTTCTAATTTGCATTCTTGCTATATTTTCAACTATAGCCTTGCTCTCAATCTTGGCCCTTCACAACAAGTCACAAAAGCAACAACTTTGTGGCTATGCAGCCACAATTTTCTCCATCATAATGTATGCTTCTCCTTTATCCATCATGGTAAGATTGTACACATTTTGATGATCATAATCTTTGGATGAGCAAAAACAATTTTAGAAATCGATCGGGAGATTTTCTGTTAGGCTGTTTAATGCAGGTTAGGCGATCATACTCTTCGAACAAATTTATAGGGGTGTATTCATATTGAGATTTCTGAATTTTTAAAACTTTAGAAATCCTGTTGTATTTAATTTGAACTTTTTTAGACTTCTAAAACTCTTGAAATATTTATTTTTTGTATTTTAAAAAGTCTTACAGTATTCTAAGATATGTAACTTATTTGACACTAAGATTTATTAAAACTTTTTAAGATTTACGAGGATTTTCAAAGAAAAAATATATACGAAATCCCACAAACACTCACCTCAACACCTAAGATTTCGTAACATTATATTCAATATTCTTATGTGTACATAATCTGCAATTAATTAGTTAATTAAGAAGTATTTTGACTATTTTCTATATTTTTATTGGATTAATTTTGCAGAGGATGGTGATTAAAACAAAGAGCGTTGAGTACATGCCGTTTCTCTTGTCACTCTTTGTATTCCTATGTGGGACTTCTTGGTTTATTTATGGTCTCATTGGGAAAGACAAGTTTCTCTATGTAAGTTGTCAATTTTATTTTACTACGTTCATTTATCTTTTCACCACTAGTAGAAAAAATGTTTTTTTAAATCGGATAAAACTGTTTACATGATAAATTGCATAGTAAATTGTGTATATCTAATTAACTATTTTATTGCAAAAATTACTATTATTATTATTATTATTACTATTATTATTATTTTCTTTTTTAATTTACAGATTCCGAATGGATTTGGGAGTTTATTAGGCACAATGCAGCTAATTCTATATGCAATTTACGGCAACAACGAAGGAACCTCTGTTGATCAAACTCGGAAAGCTCCCTTGGATGAAACCCTAGAAATGGGTCTTCCCAAACATCATCAGCAAAATGAACCCAATTATTAATTTTCATATTGATGGCCAATCTTAATTGATTAAATAAATCTCTTCTTCTTAATTAGTCTCTCTCTTTTTTTTTTTGTGACTAATGAGTTGTTCTTGTTGCTATTAATGAATATGGTGTGGGATTCGTAAGTAATGTCTATTATTTCGTAGTTGTAACAAAATTGTTGGAGTCAAAATTATTCCGTTTTAACTAATTTTGACTCGTGGTTGAATAATTTTGACTCGTCGGGTGTATCGTAAAATCTATGGAGTAATCGGATGACTCCTATATGGATTCATCCATAACTTCATGCACTGACACATGTCCAATGTGCATTTATTTATTGTATTACACTCATTTGTGAATAATAATAGATGACTCCATAAGCCGAGTTATACGATGGTTTCGTGCGAAACTTCTTAATTTAATCTTAGATTTTATGCCACTAATCAATGGAACATCATTTGTGAATAATAATGGATGACTCCATAAGCCAAGTCATACGATGGTTTCGTGCGAAACTTCTTAATTTAATCTTAGGTTTTATGCCACTAATAATCAATGGAAAGTTTACTTTTAAATTTCAGTCGATCTCTATGAACAAAATTTACAAAAAATAAGATTTATCATAACAAAGGAATCCTACATAGGAAATAATAAAATTTAGTAAACTAAATAAAGTGAAGAATGCAATATAAAACATAGCTCAAAATGGAATGAATTTTATTTACTGAAAAAAAAATAAAAAAATAGACAGATAGGTAAGAGAAAAAAGATTAGTACACACCTAATGAACTTTAAACTGCGATGGTACGTATACAATGGGCTCTGTCTCACCGCTGCAATAAATAGTTGTAGTTTACCTTAAGCTCAAGCCACATATATTTGTCATATCATTGCTCTATA